TCTGTGCCCGCTGTGGTCCTCCAGGTGAACAGCACTTAGAAGTCAAGGAGTTCCCTAAAGTCAATGAATTTCGCCCCAAACCCCTGCTGACTTTGAGGGCATCTGTAGGCATCGCGTCTCCAACATATCCTGACAAGGGGAAGGGCCACATTTCTGAAGCCAGAGAAGAAGCTCAACTCTGGAATGATGGTGATGAAGGAGAAATAATTGCTCACGTTATGTGAAACTGCTCTCTGTAAGGATTTCAAAACCAAGGTAAGATTTCTGAAATGACTTTTATTGAACTTCTGACTCCACTCTACTTCCTCCTTCCTGGAAATCTTTACTTCCTTGGCTTATGTGCCAGTATATTCCACTAATTCTTCTGCCTCTCTGCTTCTCCATTTTCTTTGAATAGTTCTCTTTTGACATTTTGTTCATTATATATTATTCCATTAATTTAGATTTCTTAAGATATTTCATTAAAACATGATTGACTTTTATTATTGAGTTCTTTTGGTATCTTCCTAAATTTTGTACCTAAGGTAAGTGCATCCCTAGTCCCGGCCCGGCTTTCCACACTGTCTCTTAATATCTAACATTCTCCATTCATTTCATTCATTTTATGTAAGTCATTGTAAATCCTTATAGATAGAATTATAAATGTGTGTAAACAATGAAAAATTGAAAAGAGAGAGAACATATCCTATGTCCTACCGGATATTAACATATACTATAATGTCATAGTAAAAAAATAGTATTAAAACCCTATCAAACACTGTTAAAAACCTGTCGAACACTGTTAGATGCTAAATATTCAAGTAAAAGTAAGACATACATCTTGTCCTCCAGATGCTTACAATTCACAGAAGGGACCACAAGTGACAAGACAACACAGGCCCAGATGGATAAGTGCAGATATGGGGCATGCACAAGATGCTGCTGTCAAGGCATCAGGGAAGGCTTCCTGGGGAACAGATGGCTTCAGTGTAGACAGTCCGAAAACAGGGCAGAAGCCACTTCTCACACAGCAGGAAGCAGGTTCAAAAGCGTGGGCCCAGTGTGGCACATGACGTATTTGAAGAACTTCGGATGCTTCAGTGTGAATGGAGCCAGCTTTGGATGTGGAACAGCAGCAAGAAAAGAGGAAAAATAGACAGGCAGGGGCTGGATCATGACAGATGTTACATGCAAAACTCGGGAGTCGTTACTCGGGAGTCCTGGAAGTCATAAGGAATTATTGAAGGATTTTAAGCAGGAGAGTGATGGCACATTTGCAATTTAGGAAGATCACTATGGCAACAGTGGGTAGTATGAGTGGAAGAAGTTGGTTCAAGAGGCAAGACCAACAGTGCCTGAATAAAGAGAGAGGAAATGGGCACAGTAGCAAAATGATGGAAGAAGAGGACTTAATTTGATTGACATTAAAGGGATTATTGGTGAGTGATGTCGGTGGTATCTGACGTAGAAAACTCCCAGATAACTCTTATTCCTAGACTAGCCAATGCAATCATCTCTCTTTTGTGTGTGTGTGTGTGTGTGTGACTTTTCTAAATTATTTTGATTGACAAAAATTATTTATATTTATCGTGTATGTTGTTTTGAAATGTATGTACATCATGGACCGGCTACATCAAGCTAAAGAATTTGTGGCTCACCTCACATACTGATTTTTTGTGGTGAGAACACTTAAAATCCACCCTTTTGGCAATTTTCAACAATACATTGTTAGCAACTATAGTCCACGTTATACAATAAAACTCTTAAAATTATTCCTCCAATCTAAATGAAATGTGTCCTTTGAAATGTATCCTAAATGAAATGAAATGGATGTATTATTTGACCAACATCTCCCCAGCCCAATGAAAACATCTCAATTCCATTCATTAGAAAGGGTAATGAGAGAAGACAGCCTGGCTGAGAGAAGACACTGAGTTCAGTGTGGGGCTATTGCACTTAGCATATCTGAAAGTTATCTAGGAATAATAATACATAAACATTCATGTATGATGGGTGGTCTCAGGAGAGGAGTTTAAGCCAGAGAACTGAGAGTCATCAGACATAGTTGCAGGTTAGATGAGCTTTTCCAGGAAGAGTGCCAAAAATCAGAAATGCAGGGAATCTCAGGATATGATGAGAGGATATGATAATTAAGAGATGATTTCAAAGGATGATAAGGAGGATTCAGTAAATAGGAGAAAAATAAGGACAGAGTAGCTCATTAGAAAGAAGTGGATTACAGTGCAAATATTATCAGTAACTCAAGTCAGAGGCACTGAGAAGAACCCACTGGACTTGACCTTCTGCAGAGGTTCCTGATGGCCATGATGAGAGGGTCCTCAGGGATGTACTGGAGACAAAAGTCAGAAGCTTAGCTCCAAGTGGGAGGACACAGAGAGTGTCTCTAGGGTAGGATGCAGACTGAAGGCAAGGTTGTTTTTTATTAGTTGGTTCATAGTTATGTTGTTTTTTCCCCCATAGGTTATAGTGGTACAAGAGATATTTGGTTACACGAATAAGTTCTTTACTGATGACTTGTGAGATTTTGGTGCACCTATCACCTGAGCAGTATACACTGTACCCTATTTGTAGTCTTTTATCCCTCGCCCCCTGACTCCTTTCCTCCCAGGTCCCCAAAGTCTATTGTATCATTCTTATGCTTTTCGTCCTCTTAGCTTAGCTCCCACATATCAGTGAGAACATATGTTTAGTTTTCCATTACTGAGTTAGTTCATTTAGAATAACAGTCTCCAATCTCATCCAGGTTGCTGCAAACGCCATTAACTCATTCCTTTTTATGGCTGAGTAGTATTCTATCATATATATCTATATGTATATCTGTATCTATCTATATCTATCTATATATCTCGATATATATATCTCACAGATATATAGATATAGATATATCTCACAGTTTCTTTATCCACTTGTTGACTGATGGGTATTTGAGTTGGTTCCATGATTTTGTGATTGCGAATTGTGCTGCTACAAACACGCATGTGCAAGTGTCTTTTTCATATAATGACTTCTTTTCCTCTGGGTAGATACCTAGTAGCAGGATTGCTGGATCAAATTGTAGTTCCACTTTTAGTTCTTTAAGGAATCTCCTCACTGTTTTCCATAGTGATTGTACTAGTTTACATGCCCACCAGCAGTGTAGAAGTGTTCCCTGATCACCATATCCACACCAACATCTACTGTTTTTTGATTTTTTATTATGGCCATTCTTGCAGGAGTGAGGTGGTACCACCTTGTGGTTTTGATTTGCATTTCCCTGATCATTAGTGATGTTGAGCATTTTTTATGTTTCTTGGCCATTTGTACATCTTCTTTTGAGAACTGTCTATTCATGTCCTTAGCCCACTTTCTGATGGGGTTGTTTTTTCTTACTGATTTGCTTGTGTTCATTGTAGATTCTGGATAATAGTCCTTTGTGAGATGTACAGATTGTGACTACTCTGTGGGTTGTCTGTTTATTCTGCTGATAGTTCCTTTTGCTGTGCAAAAGCTCTTTAGTTTAATTGAGTCTCAACTATTTATCTTTGTTTTTATTGCATTTGCTTTTGGGTTCTTGGTCATGAAATCCCTGCCTAAGCCAATGTCTAGAAGGGTATTTCCCACGTTATCTTCTAGAATTTGTATAGTCTCAGGTCTCAGGTTTAAGTCCTTAATCCATCTTGAGTTGATTTTTGTGTAAGGTGAGAGATGAGGATCCAGTTTCATTCTCTTACGTGTGGATAACCAATTATCCCAGCACGATTTGTTGAAAAGGGTGTTCTTTCCCCACTTTATGTCTTTGTTTGCTTTGTTGAAGATCAGTTGGCTGTAAGTATTTGAGTTTATTCCTGAGTTCTCTACTCTGTTACCTTTGTCTATGTGCCTATTTTTATACCAGTACCATGCTGTCTTGGTGACTATGGCAGGGAAGCTGAGCTTTTTCCCCACAATTCTATACTGACTCCTTCTACTGCATAATTATTTTGTTCTCTTGAATTTTACATGCTAGTCTTCTATTTAAATTTTAATGTTTAGATAAATAAATGAAGCCACTTTTCCATTTTCTTTATTAAATTAGGAGATCATACAGGATCACATTTATAGGTCTTTAAATTCAGGAGTAATATTCTTTGAAAATTTACTAAACTATTCAGTATAAACACAACAGAATCAGATGTTTTGGAAAAGGTAGGGTCTTTTATGACATTTTTTTCATTTCTTCCTCATTCACTGTATAATTTATAGTCTCATTTTTCCAAAGCAGTTACAGACCTGTTGATCTAATTTGATCTTAAGAGTCCTGCTGTAGAGGCAGGTTATATCATCCCCATATTGAAGACAAAGTATTGAAGTCCAAGAGAGGTGGTGTCCTTAAAGCTGCATACTTACATAGTAGTGTAGGTGGTGTGTCCATGCTCCCAGGTGTAAGGTTTGAGCTCTGCTGACCCCGATGACAGTCCTATGGAAGGAGCCAGTATCCTCCGCACATCTCACGACCCACAGACATGCGGGAGAAAGAAGATATGAATGGGCGCTAATCTGAAGCATGGCCTTGAACAAAGGCAAGACAGCCTCCAGGCCTCATTTTCAGATCTGGGATGGGTACTTTAATCTCTCTAAATAATGCCACTGAATGACCTTTTACACACTGAGATAGCATTTCTTCCACACCAGGCCATGTCCTGTGGGTGTGTGAGGTGTGGCAGAATTCAGGAAATGGTAATGCCCATAGATGGGTCAGCAGAATATGAGATCACCTTCAGAGCAAAGAAAACACATCATCTCCCCAAAACTCATGACTCTAACTGGTTAAAATGAGTGTCACTGTTCTCCATCTGTCATCTTAACAGCATCACCAGCTCCATATTGTCAGATCTTTCATACCAACTTTCTGCCCAGTGAGCAATGACTCATACAAAGCTCAGTGCCCATTGGTTCTTTTCTCAGAGTCTGTCCAATCCCAGGGTCACAGAAGACTACCTGGGTTCATGGTCTCTAATATTTCAGACAGGAGCTTCTTTTAATGAGTCTTTATTTTCCTGACTGCAGCTCTCTTCATTCTGCCATCCTTTTCCAGCTCCATGATGATCCTGCAGGTTTCAGGGCATCCCTGGACAGTGGATCTGACAGCACTACTGATGGTGCTGCTCATATCTGTGGTCCAGGGCTGGGCCACTCCAGGTAAGAGCAGAGCTGCCATTCCTGGAGGGTCTGGTTCAGGGAACAATTCCTAGGGGTCTTTCTCTTCATGGAACCAGACTCTGAGACAGCATGTGGGGCTCCTGCCACAGCCTAGTGTCCTTCTCTCACAGCTGGAGAATCAAACTCGCCTCCTATGGGACAGGTTGCTATCCAGCAGGTCTATTGTCTCTCCAGGAACATGGACACAGTAAATAAGGAGCCCAGGGGTCAGGATGCTTGTCTATGGGGAAATGGGGCCAAGAGGTTCAGGATAACCTTGGACAGACAAAGTTTTCAGACAGAGAGGTTGGCAAGTGCAGGCTCCTGAGTGCGCTCACATCTGCATCCAACCTTGAGGGGACTCAGGCAGAGAGCCCTTAGCTGGTGTGTCCAGACTCCAAATATCACTGAGGATTCAGTGCTCATGGAGAATGCCTCTCGTCCTCCAGGGTGGAGCAGGAGCCCGTGCCCCTTGGACAATAAAGGCAAGATGGGAGGGAGGAGGACAGGTTTGAGCCCCTGAAGGCACTCTCGTTGAAGGTATTTCTCCCAGCCTCCCCAGAACTTGGTTAGAGTATCAGGGTGGGTTGAAACTTGTCAGAAGAATGAGATAAGGATGTGTGAGTACGTGAAAGAGATTGAATGTAGGTTATCAGACAGCCAAGGAAGCAGTAACCAAGGGAAAAACTTCTGTCTCCTGCTGTCTCCTTGTGGCTGGTGTAATATTATGGCTTCTATGACCCATTGTTTTCCTCTCAGAATGTTCTTACCTTTCTGGCCCAAATTTACATCAACACCCTGAGAGGAAGGACTGCAAAGTAGGTGCCTTACTTTTCCACTGACTTCCACCTTTCTGCATAGACCCTTCCTCTGAGACCGTTCCACATCCACCTAGGACCTACCTAGAAAGTACTGTCCTCATGTCACCTCCCCATTTTCCAGGATAACAGCTTTTGAATCTCCTGAGGACAGCCCCTCAAACCCCAAAGCCCCTCACCTGTTACCTCAGGTTCATTGTCCAGGAAAGGGTGGAGAACCTGCACTTGTAGTCACAGAGGGGTGCTGAGAACTAACCAGCAGGAAGGCTCAGCTCTGGAAACTGGAGAGGGGTGAAGTTGGGGAGAGAGGAGGCTGGAGCAGCACTGGTGACACTGAACAGTGTCCAGCAGGAGGTCCATAGCAACAGTGCCCATAGGTAGAGTTGTTTGTAGGATGAGGGGTGGTGTTGGGAAACGCCATGGAAACCTCAAGGTGCAGGGTAGCAGAAAGCACAGGAGGGAGTGTGATGATGCTGGGCAGTGAACGGGTGGAGGGGCAAAGACTGGGTTGAGGTTGGTGGGGGAATGAGATGAGGCAGTGGAGCCATGTGACAGGCACTGAGGATGGGTTATCAGAACTCCCTGCATAGAATGAACATTCAATCAAAACCTGCTGGAGGGAGAGCTGGAGCCATAGGGAGTGGGTAGAGTGGACAGGGCCATTTCCACGATTCCCCGCATGCTCTTCCAACTCCACACGCATCTCCATCCTCAAACACAGCACAAGAGGAAAGGCACAAGGAGCCAGGCTGTGGCTTAAAGTGAGGGAGGGGAGGGTGGAGAAAACCTTGGCTGAGACACCACCTAGGGAGCAGGAGATGACACAGCAGGTGGAAAAACCAGACTCCTGGAGGCAACACCCTTTTGTCTCTGACAGGCTTTAAAATGGGCTTTTTACAGCTGAGTTTCTTACCTCACCCCACCCACTACCCCAGGCATTAGGGCCACACTCCCGAGTCCTCCTGTCACACCAGCTGGCACTTGCAGAAGCTCCTTGTGCATTTGAGTCTTTGGGTACTTACTCTTCTGTTAATCTAAGTCCTCAAAATCACTAGCACAGAAGACAGGTGGGAAGATCCAGTCAGCAAACAGCCAACACTTTTCAACCATTAAGGTCTGGTGCCCGTGGAAAGTCTTCCTGAGGTTTTCCAGTAGCTCATAAGCTGATCCAGTTCCTTTTTCATATGCATTTATTTAGAATTTTGCTCCTATTCAAACAGGTCACACAGTGAAAAGAGGAAGGGAACTAATTAACATGGATTGAGCAGTGACAGATACAATACTATGTATTTTACATATGTGAGCTCATTTGGTTCTCACAGCAATTTTGCTAGGTAAATAGTGTTATTACTATTTTGCCTTTCAAGAAATTGAGAGTTAGAAGGTTGTTTCTTGCCCAAGATAACTTAATAATCAGTCGTAGTGCAAGAACTGGAACCCCTACCTGGGACATGTTCCTTTTCTTACCCATATGGCCTCCCTTATATCTTTCTGTAATTATATTTTAATATATCCTATTCTGAGTGAGAGATGAATTCACACAGATCATTGATTTTCAAATTGTGCTTTGGGTAACTCAATTGTCAAGGGTTCCACAAACAGGATAAAGTTTCCCATATACAAAAAAAAAAAAAAAAAGAAGGTTTCAAATTCCACCATACACTCATCACTTATGTCTGCTTTGCAGGTAAAATTCCATTCAAAAAGTTAAATGTTGCAAAGGAAAGTTTTGAAATTCTTACTCTTGACTAAAACGTGTTCTCGTATTGGTGAATGAGGAAGAGAAACAAAGACTAACAAAATGAGAGGATACACACTCAGAGTGGGGCAATTGAATAGGGAGAGGTGGACTAAAGGGGCTGGGGGTGACTGGCCTGGGTGTTTAGGAGGCTGGAGCCCAAGGCACCGGGAGAAGAAGCAGGTTAGGATATCTGAAGTCCTGCGATCTTGCCTTAGAGATGACACTGGAAACTACAGGCTGAGTGTATAGTGCCCCTGAGCCCAGCACCACCCCTTCTCCACTGTCCTCTGCCACCAGCTGTGCATCTTCTGTGAGGGGTGAGTTAACAAACATGAGTTGTAAATTTGTAGAACATGAAACAGGTGTCCAAAACAAATCTTTTTGCTGTGTGCAAATCACAGCACCTTAATTTCTCCACTGTGACCAGGAACAGGTCAGGACTGAAGAGGCTCAGACAGAAACAAGCAGACATGTGCTGGGTCATTGCTACTTCTGTATACACATGCACCTGCCGGACACTGCCATGGTGCTCCCTAGGAAGAACCACAGGTGGAAAAGGCTGCCACACTTCTTATGTAAAAATGACACCATCAATGCTTCTAAACCTAAAGGAGTCCAGCCACTTAGTATTCTGGTTGTTCTGGTGATTTTCATCGATTAAGATATTTTTCAGGTATTTTGAGATCAAGTCTTTCTACAGCTATGTTTGAAAAGTGAAAATTAACTTTCAGGCTACATTGTCTTTCTTATGGCAAACTTGAAGAAGTTTTAAGAAATGCATTTCTGGCCGGGCGCGGTGGCTCACGCCTGTAATCTCAGCACTTTGGCGGCCGCCGAGGTGAGCAGATGTCTCGAGTTGTCAGGAGTTCGAGACCAGCCTGGCCAACATGGTGAAACCGCCGTCTCTACTAAACGATACAAAAATGTATCGGGCCCGTGGTGGCTCACGCCTGTAATTCCCAGCTAACTCAGGAGGCTCGAGGCAGGAAAACTGTTTGAACCAGGAGGGGGAGGTGCGGTGAGCGAGATTGTGTCATGGACTCGAGCCTGGCGACAGAGTGAATCTCCATCGAAAGAAAGAAAGCGAGAGAGAGAGCGAGGAGAAAGAGACGTAGAAGAGAGGGAGGAAAGTAAGGAAAAGAAGGCAAGGAAGGAAGGAAGGAAGGAAGGGAAGGAAGGAAGGAAGGAAGGAAGGAAGGATGCTCTGAAGAAAGCAAAGAAAGAAAGAAAGAAAGAAAGAAAGAAAGAAAGAAGGAAAGAAAGAAAGAAGGAAAGAAAGAAAGAAGAGAAAGAGAGAGAGAGGAAGGAAGGAAGGGAGGAAGGAAGGAAGGAAGGAAGGAAGGAAGGAAGGAAGGAAAGGAAAGGAAATTCATGGAAATGCATTTCTACATTTCCAGCATGCAGAACAGCAAGAGCAAGTTGAGGTATTCTCAAGAAACTGGCAGAGAAAAGAGAGCACCCAGCTGTAGAAAGGGAAAGAAGGAAGGGAGGGCTTCCTGGAGAAGGTGGCATTTGAGCCAGGACTGACATCAGGATGGAAATGTCAGGCAGGAAGTTGGGTAGGGGGAGCAGCTCCAGCCTCCAGGTCCCCAGCTTTTCCCACGCCTTCTGTTTCTCTGCCTGAGGGACCCTCCCCCTGATGAGATTCTGCTCCTCCCTGAGACTTCACATGAAATATTTCCCTCTCCTCCTCCAGCCGCCAGCAGAAGGGGCTGCTTTCCCTTCAGCGTGGGCCTCTCCCTAATGATTGCTCAGCCACCCTGAGCAGTGAGTCTCATTCTTTTCAGCAAATCCTCTCGCTGCATGGTGAGAAAACTGAGGCCTGGAGAGGGTCTGTGACCTGCCTGGGACCACAGAACTCGGTAGTAGGAAAAATCGTATTTTTAAATCCAGCCCTGAGTGGGAAGATTTGAGGAAATAGCTAATATTGAGGAGGGGGTGTTGTTGGGGGTGGCACCGCCCCCATCTCTCCACCCTCTTCACAGAGAACTCCGTGTACCAGGAACGGCAGGAATGCTACGCGTTCAATGGGACTCAGCGCTTTGTGCACGGGGTCATCTACAACCGGGAGGAATACGTGCATTTTGACAGCGCAGTGGGGGAGTTCCTAGCAGTGATGGAGCTGGGGCGGCCCACGGGCGAGTACTTGAACAGCCAGAAGGACTTTATGGAACGGAAGCGAGCCGAGGTGGACAAGGTGTGCAGACACAAGTACGAGCTGATGGAGCCACTCATCTGGCAGCGTCCAGGTGAGGGCTGTGGACCAGGACTCCTGGGGCAGCCGTGGGGGCCTGGCCCAGGGAGTAAGGGCAGCCGGGCCGGCCTAAGGGACCTTAGTGCCTGGAGGGAAGGGGACTTTGGGCTGGGAATTGATGGGAGGAGCCCAACCAGAGTTTGTCAGGAGGGTGAGCACGGGGACTGGGCTGAGCTTGGAGTGAGGAGGATGGAGGGAGAGAGACTCCCGGGATTTCATCAGGCCTGGCAGCTGACTGCATGTGAGGGTGAGGGGAAAGGTCACACAGCGTGCAGGGGTGTGGTGTGGAGATGGAGGTGGAGATGGCACAGCAGGCCACGCAGAGAAGAAACCGGCAGGGAGACCCCTGGGTTTGAGATGCTTGAGGGGCAGATAGATGGTCTGATGGGCAGGTAGAGAGAAGAGTTTGCGGCCGGGGAGGGGCCTGGGCTACATGAGACCACCCAGGGAGAGGGGACCCAGCGGGAGGAGCATAGGACTGGATCGTGGGAACTGGACATTGTGATTTTGAAACGGCTCCATTGTCTGGGGTATATACCCTGGTTTTTTGTCATGGCCGAGAAAATTCACGACACAGACACACATGAGGCGTGGGTTTGGGAGTGGAAAGTTCAATAGAAAAGAAGAGAGAAAATCCTTCCTCATGCTGAGAAAGCGGGTTGCCCAAAAGAGGGTCTGCGGTTTGTGGTGGAATGCAATCTGTTTTGTACAGAGGCTTGAGGAAGCGGTGATTGATTTACAAAGGACTCAGGGCATTGGTTTGACCAGTTGTGTTACTTACATAGCCCACGAAAAGGCTGACTCTCCCACCCTAGTCTTTTATTATTCAAATGCGGCCTCCAACTGGTGGTGGACATGATACCTGTACATGTGGTTTTACCTGGAGGCTGCCATGACACCCGTAAACGTGGTGACAAGGAAAAGCGAGTGGGAACCGCCATATTGGATGTACCTGACTTCCAGGTACGGCTGCCAGCATTTACATGTAAAAGCTTCAAGTTTGTGTATCTATGCCTGAGTGTTCAGGCTGCTTTCTGTTAGAGAAGAAATGGTTTGGGGCTGCTTTTTATTAAAGGAAAATTCCATTGAGAACTTTTACCCTTTCTAGCTGCCTAAAAATAATTTATTAATAACTCCTGTATTATTTCCTCCCTCAGGAGACGTAACCATAACTGCTGTTAGGGGGTATTAGATGACGATTCTTTCTGGCTACTTCCTGCTGAAAAGGGGCGTCGTGCTGGGGGACTGCAGTTGGGGCTTCAACTGAGGTTGATCTAAGGCTTCTTGGAAGAATGACATGTCCGTGTGTGGCTTTGTTTGCAGCACCAATTTGAAGTTTGATTGTTTCTAGGCGAAAAGAGATAAATTTTACAAGAAGGTTTAAAATATAGGGTTACCATATGAGTATTGAGATTACCACTGTTAGTAGGGTCCTACAGACCATAAATATGACAGTAGAGTTTGATACCTGTTAGTTACACCAATAGATTGTGATACTGGTTTGTGTCCACTAGATGTCGCTGTACATCACCAGAAAGGTTAATATAAAAGTAACATTTCTTTTGCGAAAAACATATATCTCCCCCTTGACTTGCTGCTAGGGCATAATTTTAAGTTTAGGCCATTCTTTATAACTTATGATATGATTGGGAGAAATATGTTATTGGGTGGCTAAAATAACTTTGGTGCTAATCTTGGCAATTCCTTTCCTTTAATTATTAAATTCCTTAATTATTAAATTCTTTCATGACTTTCACAGACCCTCTTACAGCATACTCAACTTTCTGACTTGTCCTAAACATCCCTCCTTTAAACAGCCAGTTCCTTTAAACAACCAGTCATTTCCTTTTAGGACAAGAATTTACTATACAAGATCGTTTCTTATATAAAATCTCTTTCTTTCTAACCTTCTTTCCACAGCTTAGAGTGCACCATATTACCAATCTTCAATAAAAAGTCCTATCAAATTTAGTGATAGTAAAACTTCCATGCTTACTTCTTGCCTGTAACTCTTACTCCTGCTGTAAGCAAAACAAACTTGACCAAATCCTTCCTGCAATTATGAATTCTGTCATAAAGATGATAATTAGGCAAAATATTACAGCAATTAGAATTTTACAACCAGAATTCGACATTGTGAGTGCCACAGTATATAGTTCTATTGCAAATAATAGCATGACTATAACAATTCCCACGAAAGTGATGTAGTAAATAATTTCTGTTTAAAACTTTACTTGCCAAGATACAATGTTTCCCTTTGGGGATTTACAAAGTAACAAATGCAGTCCCATGTATAATTAAAATCTCCCTGCAAATATGCATTAAAAATAAGTTCTAATACTGGACAGTGAATTTTGAGAGGAAAGGTAGAAATGATCAACAGTACGTGGTGAGGTATGAATGGCACTAAGGTGAGTAGCCCTCACTCATTTACTTATCTTTCATGATTTTCAGCTTAAGATCTTCTATTTCTCCACATTGATATTCAGGATGTTCCTCTGGGCTGTCAAAGGTTGCTCCCTCAGCTTTTCAGGCTTTGACTTGAGTGTGATAAATTCAGAAGCTGATACCTGTAACTTTTACTGCTGAGGGGGTTGAAAGAAGACCTGTGTAAGGCCCTTCCCACTTGGCTTAGGGAAGGAGAGAGAGAGATGAGTTTTCACTAATACCAAATTTTCTGGCTAAGTAAAGGTGGTCCAATTTCCTGGGGTTGGCCTTTTGCTAGTTGTGCCAATTCCTGTTGGAAGTGAGCTAGAGAGGTTACATTTTTAAACTTAGAGGTTTTCTGCCTGAAAACAATCTCTGAGCTCATTGATACGTTTTATCCTTTCTTACATGAAAAGCTTGGTGAAGGATTTTAAGGACTTCCCATTGACTGGAGGCTGGTAAACAAAGTTTGTCATCCTCAGGGCTGGGATACCCTTGAGAAATGGCTTATTTTATTTCTGCAGGGGAATACTGAGGTTTAAATTTTCTTATGGAGGCTTCCGAGATTAAAAGGGCTTGAAGTGTGTTAATGCCTTGAGGTTTCCTTGCCCCGGTTTAGCTCCCTGGTCAGCTATCCTATTTCCTTTGGCAACTTCATCTGTTCCCTTTTGATGTTCCCTATAATGCATTACAGCTGTTTTTCATGAAAGGAAAACTAAGGATAATAACCTGTTAATTTCCTGGTGGATATTTTATAGGAGATCATTTAGTGGTAAGAGAATGTCTTTCCTTTTAAATAGCAGCATGAACACGGAATAGTAGCTATCTTTCTCTTGCTTAATTTAAGTGCTCTTGCAAGAGCTATTAGTTCAGTTAATTGAGTGCTTGTGTCTGGGAGAGACATTATTTAGAGTGACTACTACTTATCCTGCCTTTATGTATTCTTGCTTTACCTGCTGTTTGTTAGCTAAAGGCTCCCCTAGAGGACAGTAATCCTGCTACCTTACGTGGGGTGTAAACAGCTAAATTATTTCCTAAGGTTGATTTGGAGGTTTTTTTGACTAGTAGAACCTAGAGCCATGGTGACAATGGCTTGGAAGCATGTGTAAACAATAGGTCCTCCTAACTGCAATTAGGAGGTTGAGAAAAATATTGAAATAGAGTTTTTCCTGAGACTCCTTACAATCATGCTATGGGAAGAAGAGCGGCCTGGATTAAAGAGGAGAAAAGAGAGAGGCTGGCTCTACTGTTTAGAAGGAGGTCTACTTTCCTTCCTTCAATTTCCAGAATCACCTGGCGGCTCCTGTGCTGCAATGGCAGTTTGAGCCACTGGAGCTGGGGTTTGAGCCCTGGGACCCAACAGTCCTGCTGGGCCATCTGTGAGACGGGTTCTGATCCCAGTGACCTCCATCTCCGGGGGCAGTCTGATCTCCAGTGGTCTCCACCACAGGCTGGACAAGGTTGAGGTGGCTTCCTCTTGCTGTTTGGGCACTCGTTTTTAAAATGCCCTGGCTTCCCACACTGATAGCAACTAGCGGATGCACCTCGGGGATCCTGGACTTTGCAAGCCTGCAAAGCTGCTACTAGAGCCTCTGTCTTTCTCCTGAGCTTTCTCTTTTTGGGGCCTCCTCCTGGTCCCTATTATAAGTGACCACCCTCAGGAGGTTTTCCAAGGTGCTATCTGGTCATATAGCTTGCTTCTACAGTTTCCTTCTAATATCAAGAGCTGCCTGTGTAATAAACTCGTCCTTTATAATGAGCCATCCCTTGACTGAATCAGGGGCTAAGGAAGTGTGCTCTATTGGTGCCTCTCTCAGCCTTTCTATTGGTGCCTCTCTCAGCCTTTCCATAAAAGCTGCAGGATTCCCATCTGGCTTTTGGTCTATCATAGACAGTTGAGAGGAATTAAGAGGTCAGGCCTTAGTTCTTCATAGGCCCTCTAATATGCATATTTAAAAGTGCTTCCATTTCTATTCATTTGCAGAGCTATTGGGGTCCCAACTGGGGTTGTCAAGAGGAATTGCTTCCCTTCCTATTGAGAATGGTGTTTCTGCTGTTTTTTTAACTTTCCCTATCTCTTTTCTTCCCTTTTGGTGTATTATAGGAGACATGTTGCTCATCTCCGAAAGTATCTGCTGCCTGCAAATCTGCCTGCTTTTCAACTGCGGTTAGAGTTTGGTTTAGGAGCAGCATAACATCCTTCCATGTGAGGTGAAACACCTGAGTTAAATTCTGGAAAGCTTCTATATACCTATTGGGGTTGTCAGAAAATTGGCATAAGTCTTCCTTTGTTTGCCTAAGGTCCTGTAATGAAAAGGGAGCTTGAGGTTGAAGGGGACCAGCCCCTCCACACCTGTGGGTATTTCTGGTCAGGTGGGACAAGAGACTGAGAAAAGAAATAAGACCCAGAGACAAAGTGTAGAGAAAGAACAGTGGGCCCATGGGACCAGCGCTCGGCATACGGAGGACCCACACCGGCACTTGTCTCTGAGTTCCCTCAGTATTTATTGATCACTATCTCTACCATCTTGGGAAGGGGGATGTGGCAGGACTATAGGGTAATGGTGG